CCCACCCCACCCCCCACCCCAATCCCCAGCAGGAAAAAAAATAGGGGCAGTGGCTTTTTAAAAAAACACCGAAAGAAAAATAGGGCTGTTGATTTACAGGCTATATATGCTTTTTTTGTAAATAATGCATGGCAGGATGGCTGAAATCTTGTGAAAATTGCCAAATCTTATTTCAACTTGAGTTATCAGGGTGAATCCACGGACTCTTATGAGATTTGGAGATCTTACAAGATTTCATGTAATGAGATGAGATCATTCAAGTTCTCCCAATTTTGTCCAGTGCCTAAAAAGACTGCAGATTCAGATTCACGAATGCACTGCTCATCAGAGCACAATATATTGGACTTCTGTAGTTTACCTCTGACTTATAATTTCATAGGAGGTAAACATGTTAAAAATAAGGTTGAATATACAAAACTGGGATAGTCACAGATTTACTTATTTACTTTTTTTTTTTTTTACATTTTAGGGAAAGAACCTCCAAAGGATAGAACAATTATCCAAAAGCAACTTCGTAAGATTTCTCTGCCTCTCTACAGTATTCTTTCAGCACTCACTATCTTGGGAATGATCATGGCCAGTGCTTTTTTGTTCTTTAACATCAAAAACAGAAATCAGAAGTAAGTTGTACACTTTAGATCAGGTCTGCCAAAACTTGTATTTATTGGAGGCTGCACTTCTTTGTGTGTGAACCTGGGTGGGAGGCTTCCACCTGATTGTCCACTTCTCCCCATCCAGTTCACTCTAATACTGTAATGTTACATATTTCTAAGGAGACGAGTTCACTCTTACTGAACTCAAGAGGAGTTATTTCAGAGTAAACATATACTGGGTAACACATCATGTGTGTCTTTGATTGCAGTAGATCAAACAGTTTTTTAACTTTCCTCCATTGGAACCTATGTCACAATAATACTTAATTTTGGTTATATTTTTTTTAAAAAATAATTAACAGTACTTTAAAATATCTTTATGTTGAAACAGTTTATTAACTCTTTTCATTCTGTTTGATCAAAAGTAGTGTTTTCTGCTGTGTACTCTTAGCATAATCCCCAGCTAATTAAACCACTGTGTAATATAACAAGTTGTTTAGTATAAGAAATCAAAGATATTTAATCATAATAATACCGATCTGAACTTAATTATAAAGCAAGTAGATAGATTTCTATATTTCTGTAATTTTGTACAAAAATCTGCTTCAGTGATCCTGCCTGAGAGAGTTAATTCTTAAGCTGTTTCTAGACCGAGCCACTTCCAGATTTCTGTATAGTCAAATAATGCATCTATCCCTTAGAGTTGACATAAGGATCATTTTTAAAAGAAGAAATATTATTTTTGTTATCACTGGGGGTCTTACTTACATGTCAGGAGGTGAGTTCACTTGTCATTCTATTTTTACTCTCCTAACAAAGCTGCTGAGTTATGTAAAGTAGTTTGGGAATCTATGATTATCCATATATTGTTGGACTACATATCTTATCATTCATGATCCTTGGTGTCTCAGCCTGACAATCTAAGGATGAATGCTGAAATTTTGCAGCGCTATGCCTCACTCAAATGTCAAACTTTCCTGGATCTTCCTATTTTAACTGGGGTGGTAAAGGGTGATATTGTTGCAGAATATACATTCTGAGCAGGTAGGGTCACTTACAGTATTGATTATGTGATGGCATCTCATAATCTCTTTCAGCTACTTTATTATTTTAGAAGGTGTTTTCCACATAATAATCACTTGCTTTTAACACTGAAATTAATTCTTTAACACACACTTATATTTAGTTATAGATTATTGCCTTGCCAAATTTCAGAACTACTGTATTTAGAACTCAGGGTCTTCTGTAGCATCGTTCTGTAACCCAGTGGCTACATTTTCTGACCAGACATTTGACTGATACCAGGATTTAATGAAATGTGGGATTTTCTATCAAATGTTTATGTCAAGAGACCCAGTGTTTTATTCACAAAACCAAGCCTTGGTTCTTTCAAGAAAATGTGAGGACAAAATATATCTTAATAATGAAGTTCATAATTAACCAAACCTGCTTGCTATAGTTTTGCAAGTAACTGCCAATTACAGTGGTACCTCGGTTCGCGAACTTAATTTGTTCCACCATTCTGGTTGCGAGCCGAAATGGTCGTGAACCGAATCAAATTTCCCCATAAGGTTCAATGTAAAAAAGGTTAATTCGTTCTGACCCCTACGAACGTGGTCGTGAACTGAATTGGTCGCCAACCGAATCAAATTTTCCGATAAGGTTCAATGTAAATAAGGTTAATCCGTTCTGAACCATATGTATTTTTTTTTAACCAC